AGGGAGTGGACAGGAAATAAAACCCAACGCGACGTTAAGCAGTGTACTACATCAGCTGCCAGAACACGCACGCAACTGGGGCTTCATCGTGCACCTCACAGGCCATGCAATCGCAGTACGAAAGCACAAGGATCGGTGGTACATTCACGACTCTCTGCAACCGAAACCTGTGGAACTCGGTGACGAAAACGCCACGTGGCCACGTGAAACCGGCGCAATATACACCCTAAACCTCCGGCACCACACAGAACCAACGGCAACCCACGTGGACCTGAGAGACATAACCCCCCCAGACACCTGGATGTGCACAGCTCACACCGAGAACACGGAGATCCAAACAACACCCAACGAGACCACGCGCACAACAACGAGGGCACCACAAGGCCAAAAGCGGCGGAAGATCAAACACCTGCGTGCAGTGCAACTAACCCACCAAACGACGAGAACACTAACTGAGCCACCAGGAACGTGGATACCACCGCAGCCGACTGCACACGACAATGACCACCGACCAGCATCCAATCTGATAGTCGCGCCTCTCCCACCCCCCTTAGAGGAAGACTCGCGTGAACGCCCCCACCAAAAACGACATACCGGGCACACTGGAATTACCCTCCCGCGGCCACGCGACACCACAACTGGTGCCCCGCGAAACACGGGAACCAGGATACGAGCCAAGCCGCCGCGTACCCTACCCACGGACGCGCAATGCAACAGACCCAAACCGCCGACGATCATGGACCACCTCCGGCGGTGGGCCAACAAACGCACCAACCCAGCCGGGGCTGACCACCCCGGGAAAACGATACACACAACAAGGGAAAATGAGAACACCAGTGAACTCAACGTCAAACGCCCAAGACTGTCGACCACTCCCGTAAACAACAACACATCTCCCCACCCGGAGAATGCAAATCCCTCAGAACACTGCAATAAAACGGACCCCCGGTACCTGCACATTGTCACTCACAACGTGCGAGGACTGGCGACGAACTTCCTCAGTACACTGTGCAATATGCAGACTTGGGCTGCTGATATCATTGTCCTGACGGAAACCAAAACCGGCAACCGCACCAGATGGATGAAGGACGCCGTACGCAAAGAACCGCAGGGATACAAGCTCTACTGCAGCTCGAAACCACGTAGCTCTGGCAAGGATCGCTACTCAGCAGGTGTAGCAATTGCCATTGGTGCTCGTTACACTCGTGCAGGACAAGTGACGCACATATCACCGCCGCCTCTGCTACAAGGGTACCTGTGCCACTGCAAGATCTCCACGTCAGCAAGTACCCCCTTACACGTGCTGGGAATCTACTGTCCGGAAAACACCCTAGTCCGAACCACCATATACGCGCACTGCCGGACAGTTCTAAGACAGGCCAAGAGTAACGGGGAACACGTAGCCCTGGCCGGAGACTTTAATGCCGTTCTGAACCCTGACGACCGCAGTACAGGCCTGCTCGACACAGCAGACCGACTACACCTCAAATTCATCACCGATAACACGCTCACACCGGTCCCTGAAAACTGCTCCCCCCGCCACCCGTCCTTCAAACAGTGGACCCAGAAATGCTGTACACACCAAAGCCGAATAGACGATATCCTGATGTGCCCCACCCCACACGCGAGTGTAAAAGCGGAGACACCCGCAAAAGGGAACACGCCACAAGCGTACTGCAACGTTTCTGTCGCCGGTGGAAACTTCGACCATAATCCCGTTCACGCCCGCCTGCCCGCCGACGCCATCCGCCTGTGGGACGCCAAGAAACCGGCAGCCCCAAACAACCCAGACGGAGACGGGGCCCGGACTAAATGGAAAAACGTGATACTGCCGGTTCCGAATTCCACTATCCGCGCAGCGCAATCGCAAGATGGATGCCTCGCTCACGTCGGACATCCTCAGCCTCCATGAATACCTCCGCCCCGCCGTCCAGGAGATTGAGGCTGGCCTCGCGAAACACATCGAGGACCCCACGGATATGACAGCCACCCGCTTGATGACACTACTTCGCGGCCACGACAGCATCACGGCGGTCAATGTGGAGATTGCGGCAGCAATGCTCCAAACAACCCTCGACAAGGGACTAGACATCCTACTAGACCTGTGCCCTCAGAAACCGCCATGTACGGGCAAAATACACACCAAACGAACAGTCAGCAGAGGACTAAAAAAGTTACACAGAGAACACACCCGGCTCAAGCATGACTATGAAATGGAACTACGGATGCAGGCCGCCCCCGGATGCCAACAGCCAGTTTGCGCGGACAGCTCAACAAGCCCTAACGGGCTGGCTTCGAATGGCAACCACGCACCTCCTGAAGGTGCCGGGGGCTTGCTGGAGCAACTACGGGACACGATTCGACGGGTCGGTAGCCAAATACGGCAGGCGCTAACAACAGAACGCCGGAAAAGCATAACCGCAGCGCGCCGCCGAACCCAGCATCTGATCGCCACACGCCCTCGACGGGCCCACCAAGGCATCTTCAGCAAGGATGAACTCGAACGCGGCCTACCCGCGGTGAAACACCCGGTCTCCGGTAAAATATGCACGGAACCCGAATCCATCCTTGAAGCAGTCCACCAATACTTCCAGACGCAGGCCGCCCCCATTGGCCCCCCGAAGACCGGACGGTACCGACCCGAGGAAACCCCTCGAGCGTACCCATTTCTGCAGAGTGCCGCCCCAGACACGTTCTCCCTTACCAGCCCGAAACAGGCCACGGACCACGTCCTGCTTAGCAGCGTCGCCGACCCTTTTAACTTTAACAAGTGTGTCCAACACCTGGCCCGCAATAAAACACCGGGGCCCGACGGGATACCTAACGAGCTATTGAGAGCATTGCCCACTGCCTTACAGTCCACCATCCACGACCTCCTGAAAGTCATGTGGGCCGGGGATCCTCA